GATATGGTTTAGTAGTGGACAGGTATGGTTGGACTTGATGATCTCAGAGGTCTTTTCCAACCAGGCGATTCTATGATTCTATGAAATGGAAAAAAGCACACCTGGTATTTCAAGGGGCTTCCCAGTGAGCAGAATCTTGATTTTGCAGGGAAAACATTGTCATTGTTGGTATTTAATTGCCACAGGAGCTCTTTACGTGGCCTCCCTTAGCAGAGCTGTTGCGGTCAGGACAAGCAGAGGAGGTCTGATCCTGGGGGGCATTTCAGGCAGGTGGATCAGTCTTATTTAATAAAGCCGGGTCAACACTACAGACTTCTGCCTGGTCTTGGACTGACAGAGCTGTGCCAAGCCAAACTCCTAACATGGTGGAGGCTCACAGAGGAAAAGCGTGCTTCTACTAGCTTGGCATGTTTTGCCCATGGCAAGGCAGCTGCTTTACACTTGTGGAAACACAGCTTTGCCAGAATAGTTGCCTCTCTGCTGGGACTTTAGGTTAGTGCCAGGGGGCTGCCCACATACAGCCCATCACCTCTGCCTTGGGACACTTGCCTTCAGCAGGGCCCTACCACAGTCACCCTGCTCTGCTCTGGATGTGTAGCCTTTGGGGTCAGCAGCTCCCAGAATGAAGGGGAGGCTCTGTCATTAAAGCAGATGTACCACCTAATGGGCTTGTTGATTTACACGTGTATAACAAGAGGAGAACCAGGCTTTCAATTTCCACAGTGCTCTGTAAGCATTAACCAGTTAATGGGGGGCAATCCCAGAGGAACAGCACTCTTAGCAGGGATCGCTGACAGATTCAGTCTGTTAGCCCCTCTTCTTACGCTCTTACAAAAGGTGGTTTCATTAAGAACAAACCTGTCACATCCCACTTGCCATGAGCATCTCCCTCCATCTAATGTCTCCTCTTGTGGTTTGTTATCTGTGATCCAAGTAACAGTAGGAAAACCTCACTTGGAACTTTTGTTAGACTTTCTTGCTAAAATTGCCCTGAATGAAAAAAGACCCATAAAAATTTGGTGATGAGGGCTAGAGGGGCAGGACAGGCCTGCAAACCACAGAAGAGTGAAACATGTAATTTCTTGAACTGACTTCATTACTTTAGCTAGCTGTGGTAGTTCTTCAGCTCCTTTAGGAAGGTTTTAATGAATCATCTCACCATATTTTTCCTTTTTCTTTTGAAAAAAACAGAACAGAACAAATATGACTTATGAGAAAATGTCCAGAGCCCTACGCCACTACTACAAACTAAATATTATCCGGAAGGAGCCAGGACAAAGGCTTTTGTTCAGGTAATTTTTTCTTTTCTTTGCCATTCCTTTCTACGGACAATTAGTTTTTAAGATGTAGGATGGAATTGCCTGTGGGATACTTCACTGCCACAGCTATAACACAGGTGACAACGGGTGTATATTTGTAAAAGCTGTCTGGACCAGGGCTTCCCAGCTTTCAAGGGAACTGCACCAATTCACAAAATATGGGCCTGTTTCAACGAGCAGTGGAGTCAATAGAAGCCTTTTCACTTGCTTCAGGAGGGCTGTGCCATTGTTTAAGACCTTGGCTGAATGATTCATGATCTCAGCCAAACTGCTGGAAAACCCACTCCAAATTCACTTCTCAAACACAGCTGCTGGTGAAAGCTAAGCAGGGATCAGGCACTTCCTCAAGTGCATCAGCATCGCAGCAGGGAAGTGCTGATGACCATGTCTTCAGCAGTGCTGCCTTCAAGGAAGAGAGGGACCTGCAAGGGCTGCTCGTAAAACCTAACGCATCGGATTGGGTGATACAACCAAGAATTTAGGAAATAGTGCCTGAAACAGCATTACAGCAGGGAGTTACTTGTACAGACTGGAGCACGGCTGGCAGAGTGCGAGAGCACTCCAGTTCTCCTCAGACAAGAGCAGCGAATCCTGGTGCATACATCTGAGCCACAGAACACTGAACTCGGACCGAAGACTGCTTTGATGTCCGTGGTCTGGATCTAGTACTGTGCTTGGAAATTATATCAATAGGAAGGCAGCCTTGGAGTTTGTTTTCTTAAATAGCTAACAGAGCTGCGTTAGCACTCCAACTATCTACAGCTGAAAAGGTTTCTGTGGAATGTCTTGTTTATGTCAGCTCTTAGAAGGAGACTTAGATGGGGGAAGGAGAGTAAAGGGAAGAAGGAACCACAGTCAAAATCAACTGTATGATCTTAATTTTTTTTGTGGCAAGTTAGAACAAGGTTGTTCCATCAGCAGCAGTACCAAGGGAACCTGGATTGCTGTGGCCTTGTGTGAAGGCTGCGCTGCCCGCAGGATGATACTGAATAGTGAATGTGGTGCTTATTTTGGAGCCTCTCCTTCAGTGGGGGGCAAAAACAAAACAGGAGTCCATCTCTTCTCAACCAGGCTGCCTATTTTCTCAAAGCTGTAGAAACTTAATACCCATAGAGACCTCAATTCCTCTGTCAGACTTGCCCAAAATTGACCAACAGATTCAAAGGTCACCAGGGAGCATAAAACATGAGCATATAAACCTCATTTCCTTCGGAAACTGGAAAAAAAAAGAACAACAAAGCATTTTTTGCACAATTCCCAATAAAAACTTATTGATGTTGTTTTCTTAGACCTATTTATATCTGAAGAGAAAAAGAACAGCTGCAAAAAATCAAGCCATTAATGTGCCTTTCTTGGCTATTTCTCGCAAGCACAGAAAGAATAGGAAATGTGACTTCAGAAGTAACGTGCAGGCAGTTGTCATCTGCAGATATCTGTACAGAGCTGAAGTAAAATGGAGCCAGAGAAGGATTTCTAATAGGTTGCCCGAGTGTCTTCTGCAACAAAAGGGATCCCAGATACTGTTTCTTCAATAGCTTCTAGTTCTGGGTTGGTTTTTTAAAATTTAATCAAATGCTGTTACAAATGCCCATGCTTTGAGTTCCTTGACGTGACTTAAAACACTGACCAGGAAGAATACCCGAATTACTGCAGTGCGGTTCACATCACCCCATTTCCCACATGGTTACAGAGCAGACAGAAGGTGGGGAGGGCAGTGGGATCACTCTCTGTTTTGATTTCATCCTCACGCAAGATCAACAAGACAAGCGCAGGGTTTAAATCAGGGCACAGTCTGGCCCGTAGGCTTTGGTGCCTTTTCCCTGTGTAGCCAGGGACTGATTCACCACTCCTGCCTGCCAGTTCTTCACCACCGTAACACCATTTACATTAGCAGCGTTCTCCCAGCTTACACATGGGAGTGACACAGACAGCAGTGAGTCACAGCTCTTTTTTTTTTTTTCCCCCCTAAATGCATATGTGCACATGATTTCCAAAATTAGAAGGGATGGCAAAAGGTTAGTTCCAGGCTGTGCTATGCCTTTGCTGAGAGACTCCAGATTTTTCAGATGGAAAGCCCTCAGCTTTACAACCTCAGAGGCAGAAGAGGCGGCAAGTCTTGCCCATTAGCTTCAGCGGTGATTTTTCTGGGTCAGTGATAGTAACGAAGCTCCTGTCAGTTGGTTTCGTTTTCTCTGGGGCAAGGATACTGAGCATATCATCAACCTAAAATAAAATCACCTCCTCTTATTAACACATTTTGTACTGCTGAATGTTAGCCAGTACACTGTTAATGAAAGACTGTGAAATTTTGTAACACTTCCAGCATAAACATCTTCATCCTAATTTCTCCAGAAGTACTTAGGAAAGTGATTTGTGTTTAAACTAGGATTTCATCCTTCCTGTGCCACTCTCTCTTCCCACGCCATTAAATGCAGAAAGGAAAAGCAGAGCTTTTCTGTGCTGTCTCTGTGCAGTAGTGCTCAAAAGCATCCTGGCAAACATCAGGACTGCAGACTCGATCTGCAGGCTGGTGGCTGTCCTTTCCCATTTCCTACTGCTGCCGTGCCTCCCCAGAGGCAGCTTCTGTTTCTAGCCCCCTGCAGACTTACTGCATCCAGACATGAGTGCTGGGAGCCGTGGCATTCATTTACAGAGGATGCTGCTTCATTACCATTACGCTTGCTGCAATCACACAGGAAGAGGCTCTCTTTGCTCACAGTTCCTCAGCCCAAAAGCTGTTTCTTTCAGGGCTTTTTCCATTTCCCAGAACTTGTTCTGACTTGGTCCTTGGCTTTTTCCACTGCTGTTACTTTGGCGTTTCGTGTTCCTCTTCACCCACCTACACACAAGCCTGCACAAACCAGCAGCCCTCTGCCTCTCCACGCCTTGCAAGTGCTTTGGCTTTGAAATGTGCTGGCCATAAAGGTCTCTAATGTTTCTGTCACCAGACACCATAAATAAGTGTACCTGTGACATACTGTCATCTTACAAGACAACAGCAAACAATATGAGGGAGAAGTAAATATCATTCCCGGGAAAAGAATGTGGGGTTTTGTTCAAATTTAGACTTTCAAGGAGCAGGGGTAAATGCCTGTGGTATTATTTTTGTTTCCTTTGCAGGTATGGAGGAGGGAAGACACCAGTAGACTGGGGAAAAGCTGGGAAATACTAAGTCACTAGGAGGATACAGTAAAGATGATTCTGGAGGCTGTAGAGCTCAGGGGCCTCAACGTCTTGATGAAGGTAAAAGCTGAGACCACTGGGAAATATGCTTCTCTCTCTGTTTTGCAGGTTCATGAAGACCCCAGATGAGATTATGAGTGGCCGAACAGACCGCCTCGAGCACCTTGAATCCCAGGAACTGGATGAACAAATATACCAAGAAGATGAGTGCTGAAGGGAACTGGTGCACCGCCTCCGTGGGTCCACAGGAGAAACATCTGCCCAGATGGCTGGCACGGTTTGGGAGGGGAAGGAACAACACAGAAGCAGTACTTGGGGTCGCTTCTTAGCTTGAAGACCATGCAGGACCTGAAGCACCTTAACAAAACAAACTAACAGGCAGAAGTGGTGCTGGCAGAAAAGTAAAGGGGAGGAAGCCCGGACTTAGGCACTACTTCACTGTTCCTGCAAAGTCTCCCTTGAGTTCTTTCTTTCTTTTTGTTTTGTTTCAGTTCTTGGGGGTTTTTTGTTGTTTTTTTTTTCCCTAATAAACATGCAGTTTGACTTTCCTTATCTCACATAGGACAAGACGTCAGATTATGCTTTTTTGGGGGGTTTGGTTTTTTTTTTGGAAGGCTTTCCTATGGAAATAGAGCACTCTTATTTTCCGTGCAAGTCTCATGACATAACACCACATAAAACAATAGCATCACAGAAGGGATTTGCTCCAGGGTTCCAGTTTGCTCGGATCAATTTACATGTGCTGCCACTCGGAAGTGTGTTGAAGCTACCAAAAGAATTTACCGCACATCATAGCTGTCAGATGAAGAGGAGTCACCCTTCACGTGTAGGCTGGGAATCATCCCGGCGTAGCTTGGGCGCGGGACGAGTCCTGCGAGTGGCTGTTAACTGCTGGAATATGGACCAAAACCAATCACCTAAGTGCTCCGGGGAGGAGAAAAATAAATGTGACAAACCTCTGCAATAGACTGATGTTGACATTTTCCCTCCCTCTAGCAAAGAAGTGATAGAATGGAGCGAGGGGGAGGGAGGGCAGGGACAAATACATATATATGGGTATATATAGAAACAGTTCATATATATATGTATATATATGTAACCCCCACAATATATCCACAATGCAGAATTTCAGCTCAGAGTTTTCTATAAAAAAGCAAAGGCTGAAGCATCTGTAATTACAAAAGGGAGGGGTTTTTCTTATACCTTCTAGGAATTTCGGGGTGAAAGGTGAAGGACTGTTTCTTACATCATAGGAAGAAAGCAAAGGGACCCATCACATGGTTTGTGTTACTCAGAAACCTTTCCAGGATCATTCTGTGCTGCTGGAGAGGCAGGTAATTCACCAGTCTGAAAACTGATGGTAGAGAACTAGGGACCAAATAGCTGTACTTACATCTTGTAATTGACTTTGGCTTTGGTTTGGGATTTGGTTTTTGGGGTTTTTTTAATGCTTCCCACTACCCTCCCCCACCCCACAGCTCTGCCATCAGAGGAGCTGGTCTCAGCTTGCCCATTTTTAATATGATTTAAAAGACAAGAAAAAAAGAAATCCTACAGCCTTGTTGCTTTCTGGGGTTTTGGTTTTGTTCAGGTTGTAAGGTGCCCCATTTTTTACACCTCCGATTTGGTTTGCTGCACTGAGAGTGTTCCGCGTGAGGCAAAGAGCTGTACCTGGTTTGGTCGCAGGAAGCTCAGCTGTCCTTGATGGCCAATACAAGAGAAACTACTGGCCTTTTCCGTTTCACGTTGCTTGGGCCACCATGACAGGAAAGTCTCTGGTGTCCTGGCGTCCAGTGATCCATCATCAGTCGCCCTTTTAAAAGAAGGAGGATCTAGCAGCAGAAGTGGTGCTTGCAGATGGCGAAGATGCGTACAGAAACCACATGGTGGCTGGGAGAAAGCACATCCACAGCAGTTCATTAAAACAGAAAGCTTCTTTTATGGGAACATGCATCCTAGATATGGAAAAATTCAGTGGGCTAATCTAAGCCATTTCAGCCAAAAAACAAGGTACATTCCCATGATAGAGCTCTTACCTGCTATTAAACCAACACAACATTTGATCTTGACACATATTGAACAAGAGAGTTAATCTATCCAGGAAAAAAAGCGCACTGAGCAATGAATAGTGTCCCCTGTGTTTAAACAGAGCTAGTCCCATCTCCCAAAAAGGCTTAATACTGAGTCACGGGTTGTAGAAGGAACAGCTTTGTTAAGGGTGCAGACAGGCATCATACCAAGAGGAGAGATTTTTCAGAGCCAGTATCCGATGAGGAATGACAGGGCACACTTCTCTCCGGAAGCTTTTCCCAGCTACATCTTTTTTTAATTGAATCATAGTCAATATGTTACGTGTCCCAGCACACCACGTATGTGACTTTTCTGCCTCAGAAGAAAAGACACAGGAGTATGTATCAGAAAGAAGAGCAGCACATTTGTGACTCTGAAGTCCTTGGAGCTCAGGAGGTGTGAGATTGGGAGACAGTGAGGGACTTCAGTGGTCACAGATCTGAAACCAAAGGTCCCTTGAAACCAAGGGGCCAAGGAATTACTGTGCTCTGTCACCCTGCTCAAGGGCACCCAAGTTGCAGCCGTGTCTCGGGAGCTGGGGTGAAGAGGGTGAGGTGAATATGAATGACCAGTGAAGTGTGATCAGAAGCATCAACGTAAAGAAAAGCTCTTGCTGGTTTCTTGTGTTCCTTACGGTATTCAGTAGTAGAGAGAAACTAAAAGTGTGTGCAGAACGAGTCACAGCCTTTGCTGCTCTGGCTGGGACAACTCATTTTCTGCCGTTGGCTGCAGCTGTTGTTACAAGATGGTGAGGATTTTAAAAAAACCCTCAAAAAACCCAATAGGGACTTTCTGTAGAAAGTGCTCTGATGAAGCACAGGTTTTTGTCGTGGCCAAGGTGCACGCTGGCACTCATACAGAGAACGAGAGACAATCCACCAGTATAAGCCAATATGCTCACTGTGTGCACTAGCAAACGGAGTTCCTCCTCAGCACTAGGTAAGACAGGAAAAAGCAAGGAATCCTGAAATCACACCTGCTGTCCCATAGGGAAGTTTTGTAGAGGAAATACCTTTACTAAAAAATTGCAATCACTTGCAGAATCTGAGTCAAAGGGGGAAAAAAATCTTTGGTGGCTGTTGGAAAATTCCAGATTACACGTAAAGGACATCTTAAGACGCCTTCTCCACCATAACCATAGGCAATTTCTCTCAAGGCTGATCCAAGTTGGAATGAAAATAGCCTTTGAACTTGGAGCAGGCTGATTCCGCCAGAGGCCCATCCTGGCTGGTGCTGTCCACTGCCTTCTGCCCGGTCTGCATGGTGCAGCAGAGAGTGGAACAGGTGACGCTCCAGCTGCCACAACTCCAGGGGCTTGGGACCTGTTGTGGGAGCTGCAGGATTCGAACTGCTCTTGGAGCCTTGGAAGCAATTTTACCCGCTATGACTGAAAAATATAAAATAAAACCAGGTTAGGGGAGCTGCAGCAGACGGGTTCCCTTCTACCTCACGTCCAAGTGGCAGGTACACAGAATGCAAACAGAGCACGAACGTACTGAGCTATGGGATCACTTGGCTGCCCATCTGGGCTACCAAATGTTAATGCTGGCTTTCCACTGACCCTGACACCCACCTCCCCTCCCCATTTTCTGATTTCCCAGTGTAGAATTCGCCAGCAGCAAAGCAGCCAAACTTTCTGCCTTTGCCACCAAAGCAAGTGGGAAAAGGGAGAGAGAGTCTCGTCCTTGGAGACACACAAAAACCATCTGGTCATGGTCCTGGGCAACTGGCCCTAGGTGGCCCTGCTGGAGCAGGGGGGTTGGACCAGATGACCTCAAGAGGTCCCTGCCAACCTCAACACCCAACAAAGGATCTTCACACTGTGCATTTAAGTGGGACCTTCATTGCCACCAGCTTGCTACAAGTCGGAACAGGCCACAAGCCAGTCAGGTAGGACACGCTGCGATTCCACAGCAGAACATTTTCCTCATTTAAGTTTGAAAGCTTTTGCCCACCTCTCCATCCAAAGAACACTACTGGGGCCCTCCCTGTGAACACTAAAGTCACTGCCACCCTCCCCAGATTTCAGACTCCACGCGTGCATTTTCCAGATCTCTTTGTCAGACTGCAACCATGTGCAAATCCAGAATGCATCAGCTCAAGGTCTTTTTTTTTTTTAAATAAAATTCTTGTTTGTTTTTATTGATGATGGCTTTTTGGTTTTTTAAGGTGTGGGGTTAAGGGACTGAATCAAATGAATGTAACAGAACAAAAACAAACAAAAAAGCCTATTCTCAGGGCCAGTGAGTTGCAAATAATTTTTAAAATGCCTGTAATTACATCATCTCAATAAAAAAAATTTAATATAAAAGTGGGAATGCCAAATTTTATTGGTGCAATCATTGCTACAGGGTCCGTCCTTTCTTTTTAAGAACTCTGGTGCCCAAGTATCCACAGCACATAGCAGCTGTTGTCAATCAGGAAGAGAAACCTGCAGCCTTCCCATGCCCAAACCTGTATGAACAGCACCTGGATCTTCCCTGGGAAGTGTCATTTGGAAAAGCTAAGGCTGTCCCTTGGAGTATTTACTTTGCTGCCTGTTCTTGGAGGTGAGCAGAGCGCCCCACTAGTGCCTAGATGGGTGTACCTGCTTCTCCTTCCCTCTCTTGGAGAGGATACAGAAGCAAAAACAGAAATGAGGTGATGCAAAGGCTCTGTTGCGTCTTTTTTGTGCTGCTAAACAGGCCAGGTCAAGGAGTCTGAGGGGAAGAGGTTTTTCTGCAGTATTCATCTCTGCAAACCAGTCTAGAAACACTAGACTGCAGCGAATATGCTGCCCTTCCAGCACAAAGGGACCTTATTTTTCTGTCTTCACCCCGAACCAGGCAAGGGACGGGGATGTGGGTGCCACCAGGTGCGGGGTGCTGAGGTGACAGCGAGGTGAGGTGGCACAAAGCTCTCCATCGCTCCCTGCAGCAGTCCTTGTCTCCTGTGGAGTGGCCTTACTAGTGCTTAAGGCAGCATGAGGTCCCTGGAGGGTTTCTTAACTTGCCACATGCCATCAAAACGCCACAGCAAACACATCTGGTCAGCAGCACACAGGCCACATCTGGTGCTCTCTGATGGGAGCAATTCATGGCAGGTTAAATGGCTTGGATTCCAGCTATGGCTCAGGATGACCCTGTGCTAATCTGGCTCATCTGTGGATTATCCACTCAGCTCCTTGCTCAGTATTTGTTCTTGGTTTTCTTTCACCATCGTTTTTAAACTACAAGGCAAAGGTGTAAGCACTAACCAAACCCCTCTCTGAACCAAGACATCAAGCAAGAAGGAAATAGTGTGTTGCTCCATAATTGAGTCCCTTCAGGCCATTTCCCTTCATTTTAGAAGAGGAAATAGATGTATCCTACACCCTCTCACAGCTTTTTGTGCACTCTGAACAACAGCAAACACTGTAGTTGAAGGCGTACGGAGCAAGATCTCAGTGGTTTTGGTTAGTGATTCACTGAGGATGAGCCCAGAGTCTTGAGCCCAGAGAGACATTAGAGAGCAT